GTGTGTCACACCATTGTTACCTTCTCTGAAGTTCACAACAGACTTCGAGACAAAGGCCAGATCTCCATGTGCCCATTGTAGCCTGGAGAACAATACAGTGACTGTGACTTACTAATCCCTATGGAGCGCTGACAGCTCAGGCCTGAAGCCACACTAGGCCTCATCTTCACTCAGAGCAATGTCTGTGAACCACAGAGATGGGAACGGGGAGTATTTATAGTAGCTAGAATCTTGCCAAAAGGGGGGAACCAAAAGCCATTGTGGGAGAAAAATATCATCCCCATTGTCAAAACCGTGGCCATCATTATAGCATCACTTGATTGATGGGAAAATATGTGTCTGGAGGGGAAATGGCTCACTGCATGAAAGCTTTTCAGGAGATGTTTGTAATGAAACTGGCCCATAAAGAAGAGAAATAATTGCAGTTCGTATTTCATAAAGCAGGTATCTGTCAGGTTTGACTCACCTTACCCATCCTGGATGTACCTGTGTCCTATAAACGACTACAAAAAACATCTTGGTTCCAGAGTTGGGCGATTGTTCAAGAGTTAGCATTGGAATTTGAATTGGCAGGCCGAAACACACAGGAAGCAAAACTGTAATTTGATTCGGAATTAAAGGAAGTGGAATTTTACAACTTCAGCAGGTATGCATTCTGGGAAATGAAGTGCCTGGGACAATAAAATTGATATGTAAATGAAAATTAAAGGGATAGTCCACCCAAAAATGATTCACTTCACTCACCCTCATTGTTCTTCCAAAGTGTATGACTTTCTTTCTTCTGTGGAACACAAGAGAAGATATTTTTGTCCATGAAAGTCATGGTGTTTGGTTTTGGACCCCATTGACTTTCATTGTTTGAACAAAAACAGTTGAAACATTCCTCAAAACATCAACTTTAGTGTTCCACAGGAGAAAGAAAGTCAATAAGTTTGAAACAAAGCAAATGGTGACGGAATTTTCAGTTCTCAATGAACTATCCTTGCACATTTCTTTTGTATGAACCCGGTTTATCTGAAAAAACCTAGTTTAGATTTTTTTTTAAAGCCATCATTCAAAGTTTGTCATGAAAAACCTTCATTTGTCTAGTTACTACACTTATTGCACATGCACTTATTACGTAAATATTTCTTTGAATTTTAGTTCATTTTACTTCCTTAAATTATTAAAATCGTCAATTCCACATCACACGTGGTGCTGTAATTTAAAAAAAAGAAACTCAATTCAATGCCAAATGGAAGAATGCAACATGATTTGCATTCTGGACAGGCATTGTTTGTCCTTGGCATCAGTTATTATATTTTGTGTCATTTCTGTTGTGAAAACCGACACTTGGAACGTTTTCACAGGTGACATTATTCCCAAACACACCTTAGCCCTGGAGACAAGCGAAATGTGCGGCATTGTGAACAACAATGCTCTTCAGGAGCTCACCAAAACTCTTTTGTTCGGTCCACAATGGTTGTGGTTCCCACCCTTTTCTTGTACACAGCAAGGAGAGAATAACAAAAACCTTGCGAAAAAAAATATGAGTATCCTGAATCACACTCCTAATCAGGCCACTGTACGAAAACGCTCACGGACGCTGCCAGCGCCACCCCTCGAACTTGGAAAATAATGGAGAAGAGAGAAAGAGAGGTCTGAGTGGGCAAAGAATCAATAGGAAGAGGGGGGAATATCTGATGAATTGTTTTCTTGTCAATGCTCAACCTCATCACCCCTCCCTTCCCTGGTTTGACCTTCCTCTGTGAGCACATCCAGCCACAAAGAGGCTTCATTCTCTCGGGAGATAGAGCGCCTTGCTCTTGTGCTGAAACTCTATCACCTGCCTAAAAGAAAACTGTGTCATCTCCCCTAGCCCAGCAGGAAGTCTCCAGCCAAGCAGATCACACACCCTGTAATATTCGCAGTGACCTTCAGCGCGCCACCAAACTTTCTCACAGTCTGCCATGTTTCATGACACTACGCTTTGGATGTAGTTATGGATTACACCGAGCACAGGGTAGTGACTTGGCACTCGGAAAAGGAAGCCATCTTCAAAGGATGAGGGTGGCAAGGATTGCTGGTTTGCCAGTGTAAACATACAGTAACGTTCTATTATACGGCTCACTGGAGTACTTGATTCTGATTGGCCAATCAAGCCATTTGATGTCATTATATTTGCCGTCTTCTGGATCAACACTGTAGACGTATTGTACTAAAAAATATGATCAATAATTTATGACGGCATGTTTTTATGCTTTAACTCATCAAAATAAGTTATATGAAGATTTAACTCATTTTTTAAAAGTCAGTTTAATGTAATATAAGTTAAAATGACTTAAAAATCCAAATAGATTGTACTTAAAACGTTTAAAGAAGCAACTTTTTTTACATTGTATAATATGACATATTATAATATGTCATACTGTAATTCTGTGTTCGTCTTATTGCTAGAATGATTGTTTTATTTTGTACAATTTTTCCTTAGCAGTAAGTAAAATTATAAAATTATTAGCAAGTGAAATTATAAAAAATTTCAACTTAAATCAATAAACATATTTATTTAGGGGTAAAAATGTAACTTAAAGATAGCATAATGCTTTCCCAGTGTATTAATCTCAGTACATTAAATCACAAGATATGGATTGTTTTGTATTGTATTATGTTTAAATAGGCAACAAAAAGGATCTCATTAAAAATGCACAATTGCATACAGTATATTTCCAGAAAAGAAAGCTGTGCATTGGAGGTTTAAAATTATTGTTTCATTTTGTTGACATATTAGAGTAAAAGAAAAATTCAGAAGGGATTTGGGATATCTTAAGCACTGGGAAAAAAATAGCAATACATTTGATATATGTTCATTGATATATGAACAAGATAGGAATAAATCTGGATAGATTTATATATTTTGAGAAAAAAACCTTTAAAGGTAGGCTATGTATTATAATTAAAATCCACTGAACAGATGCAAATATAAAGTATAAGAAAATAAAAACTAAATTGTGTATTTTGGCCTTTACTGTGATTGTGCATGTTAAAGATTTAGCTAACAAGACACAAGATGAAATGACTTACGTGTTTTAAATGAAACCAAAATAAAGCAGATGTTAAACTGATTATCAAAGCAATAGGTCCTATTTAACATTTTCTTCCTCTTTGCTGTTGAGTGAATGGATATTAGATAACAAATAGGCTCAGAATGTCTTTCATAACCTCAAAGACTGTTCTCTGAATCTTGGCCCGTCATGGGTTTGCAGTAGTGCTTTTGGTTAAACTACAAAGAAACGGTCAGTGAACTGTGCTGTTTGGCTTTGGACCTACAGTTCCTTCCTGTTCATGGAAATTTTGTCTCTGAAATGTGTTTTTTGGTACACAAAACACAGCTCCATAATAAAAATGTGTTCCACCTGAGAAAAGGAAGGCTAAACATGCAGAGTATTTCAAGATTTTCATTAAATCTACTGCTTTCAATACAAACACACACCAGTAGGTCTACAGAAAGGGAGTTTGCTAAGTTTAGCGATGACTGAAATAACTTTTTAATCAGTCAGAGTAAACTAGGAAAACATCAAGGTTCAAATGAGATACAAAAACTTCCGAGTGTCAAAGGTTTGATGTAGCTGAGGCGTATTGTGGATCAATGGCGACCTCTGCTGGCTATTGAAACTGTTCATTTAATAAAACTGATGGTGGAGGAATAACAATAATAAAATGTTATCCTTGTCACTTTTTTCTTCGTATTTTTAATGCTGTTTCAATATTTTGGATGGATGGATCATGGATGGATGTATAGATGTATAGATAGATAGATAGATAGATAGATAGATAGATAGATAGATAGATAGATAGATGGATAGATAGATAGATATGATTCCAGGCATTTCAATAACTTTTTTTCACAAACAAAATGTTGAAGGCTTATTAAAATCAAATATAGCAGTTAGTATAGCATTTAATAATTTAATTTAACTTTAATATAATTAAATTCATATAACATTTTACATTTAAATGGGCTATTAGGCCTACATGTCCGAATTTTCATGTATTAATCACTTTGTAATTGAAAAAAATGCCAATGTGTTAACAACTGTAGAAGACTTAATTTATTGGACTCGGGCCGTGTCGAGAGATTAAAATTTACATGATATTAATGTTCAATGATAATATCGATAGTCATTCTGTAATGTAATGTCAATGTGTCATGCAAAGAAAAATCTCACATGGTCAGATCTAGTCTACAGATTCAAATATAGGCTAGCTACTTCCTTTATAATCAAATCAATATCATTGTGCAATTAATTACCTCATCTGTCGACACGATGCCACGAGTAGTAGAGCTGGTGCAAATATATCCACATCTCTTCGATCAGATGCTTTCTTACCTGCTGTTTTCTCACTGCTGTCAGTTTTATTGTGTTGTTATTGAGACTGAGGGAACGCGCGGAGAACATTTAATAATTCTTCTAAACGTCGCTCTCTGCAGCTCGGTTGGCGTCTGGGTGTTCTTTAATAGTATATCACTGCAAAAATGTATTTACAACTTATTTTAACTTTTAAGCAAAGAACAAAAATCAACTTTGCAGTTAGTGGGGCCTAGAATCACTCGCGTTCAGTCAGCTGTATGTTGCGTGTCCACGTGTGCCAGCACGCCACGAGAAATACGTTCCTGGCTGCAGTTCACTTAACGGCCACTAGTGTCGCTAATAACATTGTTTTTTAAAAAAAAAAAAAATACATTTTTTTTTTTTTTTTATTATTATTATTTTTTTTTTATTTACTGAGTTCCTCTAAGTGGTCCCTAGTTGAAAACTACCTGGTTTGTATCACGTGTCCAGTATGCTCTCTCACCACTAGATAGAAGTATTTTGAATGTGTATGCTATATTCCACTCTTACATTCCAGTACCATTCTGATATAATGATGTATTATTGCACCATGTAGAAGAGATGACAAATCACAGTGGTTTATGAAGTCATGAGTTTTAGCAGTCAGATAATGCTTTCCTCATTGTAAGCTCAGTGAACCCCAGAGCGCTCATCCTAGCAGCGGTGGAGAACGTGAGAGCTGTTTCTGAGTTGTCCTTGCCTGACAAAGTGCTTCATCTCCTGTGAGTCTCCCTCAAGGGACCAGTTCAGCATTCTGGGAAACTAATGGCTCGACAGCTGCAGTCGTCCACAAACGTGATGAAAAGTCAGCTTCCTCTTCAAACTACACACTTTTATAATGACCGCTGTGCACATGGGCACAACACAAGCCTACATTTGGGCGTCTACAATTTGGAAAATACTGTATTTTAAGTTGTGTGTGATCACTTTCTTATCACATTGTTTAATGTAAAAAGATCAGCAAGAGCTGAGTTTTAGAGCCATTCAGTTTCCATGCAAAAGAGAAAAATTAAGCATCCTGAAAAAGCTGGTATGATAGCAATTAAAACACATATTTTATGTAGGCTGTTAAGAAACTTCACACACTGTGGACTTTGTGACATTTAAGCTAACTAGTACATTCCTCAAAGTATTCCTATTAAGTGACACATTTCAGTTTATGTGTAGTATAGTGAATCACAGTGCCCAATGAACAAATGATTCAACATGAGATACACTTGGTCAACAGGCGTATACAAATGACCTCATCTGGTATAGGCTACATAAAAAACATTATTATGCATCTGCATCAAGGGTGTTGTAGAAAATAATTGAGCGATTCCACAGGTTGAAAACATTGTCAAAATATGATTTTTAAATGTCTGTTGTGTGGTTAGAAAAATTGCAAGTGCTTTTTTTTTTTTTTTTTTTTTAAGTGTTGTTGTTTTTTTGTGATTCTGGTGCTCATGCACTTTTTTCTTTAAAAGTTAGTTTTAAGCTACATACAGACAGCAAATTAATAAAACACAAAATAATATGTTTGCTAGATAGACAACATAATCACGCTATAAAGATTTGTGTGCGATGACTTTGCTGTTTAACTACATGTACATACCACATGCAGTTTTTTTCATTGCATAATGTCCATTGATGTAAGTTCAAAGGAAGTGCATGAGTACAGACAGTAAAAAGAAAGAGAGAGAGAGATGGAGGGGGATAAAAGACAGAGAGGTGCCAGATGTTTATGCTGTAGCTCCACATAGTCTGACCGCTGCTGAAATGTCTTTGGTGTCCTCTGATCGTGCCGAGACCACAAAAGGCCAGGTCTGTGGAAAAAGAACGAACAAGTCAGCCACACATGCTGGTTAAATGCCATCAGACGCAGTGATTATTTGCATTACACTCTAAAAAGGCTGGGTTGTTTTAACCCAACTTTGGGTCAAATATGGACAAACCCAAACGTTGGGTTAAAAATGTAATTAAAGAAAAATTAACCCAATGGCTGGATTTGTCCATATTTGACCCTAAAGTTGGGTTAAAACAACCCAGCAATTTTTATTACAGTAACAGTAAATAGTTTTATATAAAACCCCAATTGAAAAGATGTAAGAAAATCAACATTCTGTGATTTGTTCATTCTCTTTAACCTTTATTTAACTGACAAAAGTACAATCTCAATTTTTTTCACTGGCCAAATTAATTGTATTTTGTGAATATAAACACGTTTTGGATGCAACACACTCTTTAAAAAAAAAAAAAAGTGAAAAGATTATATAGAATAAGTCTTTTGAAACAGTCCACAATAAGCAGTTGAATTAGGAACATGTGGGGTATCATGGTTGGGTAGGCCTATCGCAGCATCTCACACTCTTATGCCTGGTTCAGATTACACGATTTTAGACCGATTTTGGCACGATCCGTTTTATGTAGGGTGTCGTGGGGATTCGTAAACGAGAACGGGCGTCGGGACGCAAGATTCATATCATCTCGTATAATGTGTCATAGTGGGCGACAACCCACTAAGATGATGCTTCACGACATCACAACAAAAAGACTAGCTTGTTTAATTTTTTTAACGGTCATACACGACGGTTCCGTCACATGTATCAGGTTGACCAATAGGAGAACAAGCTTTTACGTACACAACTTTCAAAAATGGCGAAACGAAAGAGAGACGATGGTGCTAACGTTAAAACTAAAAGTAAAAATATATAAGAAAACAATATTTTACCTCAAGTTCTCTTTGGAGGATTGACAGCCCAGCCCATACTGTCCTCTTCGAGCAATCCAGGAACGTGTCCATTGTTGGGTTTTCTTTATTTTTTTACTTTATTCAGCTAATACAACACTCACCGCTTCATCCATTGTTTCTTTACGTTAGTTTCCGGAAGTCACTCGCTACTAGTTTCGCATTCTCTATGACATCACGCGCGCCGTTAAAGACGGCATGCGATGACTGGTCAGGAAGCAACGTGTAGTCTGACATGTGTTGTCCACGACACGACAAGATTTTAGGAGTCAAAATCGCGTAATCTGACACAGTGACTATCGTAACAGACAAAAAAAATTGTGTAATCTGAACCAGGCATTAGAAGAAATGGTTCTATTTAGAACCAGAAATGGTTCCATCCCCCGCTTCATATATGGAACTCCAAAATGGTTCTATATAGAACCATTTTTTTTTTGGTAAAAGGTTCTATTGACCAAGTATGGAACCCTAGGGTTCTATATAGAACCCAGAGGAACCCCTTTTTAAGAGTGTATAGAACCTTTTAAGGGTTCCAAATACGTAGCGCTGATAGAACCTTTTAAGATTCTATATAGAACATTATCTTCTAAGAGCAGGGTACGTTTACAGTACAACGATATGCTTAAAACAAACACGTCCTCGTACAGACCATTGTCAAAACTACTCCCATTCCCACGGATCCGTGAAAATGGCTAAAAAACGTTGTATTCTGCTGCCAAACAGATAGATCACAATGAAAACACTATAGACTGAACACGTAATACGCATGTGCATGACGTCATTGTTTTCAGAAATTCGCATTTATGTTGTTTACACAGACCGCTTTTTACCGTTTTCCAAAACTTGCGCTTTGAAACCTGTTTTCAAAAGTTTTCATTTTCAGGCATCCAAAATGCATTTCAATAAAAATGAAAAAAACAACAAAAAAAAAACTATTTTCTCAAAACAAGATTGCAAAGTATTTAGGTCTTAGGTCAGCGCAGTCTCATCATATAACTGACGTCTTGGGACGTCTTTTGTCCATACGTCAACATCCGCCTTTTTATACCCTTAAACGTCGGTTAGATGCCGTTATCGGATCCTAACCCTACCCCAGACGTAAACCTACCGCTAAACCTACCCCGTCACCTAACTGACGCTAAAGGTAAAGCGTCAGTTGTATGACGGCCCGGGATCGTCATGTAACCGACGTTTAAGGGTACCCTAAAAAGCCGGATGTTGACATATGGTCAAAAGACGTCCCAAGACGTCAGTTATATGACGTCTTGGAATGAGACTGTTACTTAGGTCTGTGAAAATAAATCCAGAGAAATCTCAGTCCGTGTAGGGAAAGGCAGGAGACCTCTGTTAAATGTGTGTGACCTTTGAGCCCTCAGATGGCATTACATTAGAAGCCATCATGCTACTATGTCAAATAAGCCACGTTCTCAGGAGTACTTGAAAAACTAACTGAACACTGAAGACAGTTTGCCGCTGCATTGAGAAATGCAACTTGAATCTGTGTTATGCAAGGAGAAAGCTTTACATATGTTCAATGCAGATGCTGCTGAGTTCTCTGGGCTTGAGCTCATCTCAGATGATCCATAAGACATGGACTTTCATCAGCAACAGGTGCAAAAGCAGACATCGGTCATGGCATGGGCGTGCATCAGTGACTTTCATATGTGTGCAGGTTCAGTACCATGGACGTGGAGGCGTATGCTGTGATTGTACAGAGACATATATCGTGCCATCGATGACATCTTTCCTGGGAAGCAACACAATGCAGGCCTCATTCAGGGTGTGCTACAACAACAGAGTGGTTTCTTAGACACAACACACCACACAGTGGATGTGCTTGACTGCCCGCAGTCCAGATCTTTCTCTTATTGAAAGTCTTTGGCCCATAATGAAAAGGAAAATCAGACAATGATGATCATGGACTGTTGAGCAGCTGTCTTGAATCAGGCGAGACTGGGCAAATATTCCATATGCAAAACTGCAACAATGAGTATCCTTATTTCCCAAATGATTGAAATTGAAATTAATTGTAATTGAAAGGGAAGATGATGTGACACAGTTGTAAACATGCCTCTGTCCCAACTTTTTTGGAGTGTGTTGCAACCATCAAAATCAATATGTTGTTTATATTTACAATATATATATATATATATATATATTTACTTTTGTCGTTAAATAAAGGTTAAAGACAATTAACAAATCACAGTTAGGCCTACTTGATTTAATTACATTTTACAAAATGTCCCAACTTTTGGGGAACTGGGGTAGTAAACACACACAGACGTACACACACACACGCACACACACACACACGCACGCACACACACACACACACACACACACACACACACATATTTAATACAGCATATGTACTGGTACTGTAAGTATGCCAAAAAATAAAAATAAAAAATATTTATATTTATATTTATACATAGGCCTATGCATATTTTCAATATGTCTTTTAATATCTTTATTATTATTGATATTTAATACATAATAAAACAGTATATATTAACTTGTTTTATGTTATTTATAGTAATTACTTTAAGTATTATTTATTTATATTTAATAATATTCTTATATTTAGATGCTATATTTGATCTTTAATACGTAATTATGAACTATATATATATAAGTTTAATTATATACTAATTAATACTAATTATATAAATAATGATTATATATATAAATATATTACACATATATATATTATTTATATAATTAGTATTATTAATTTATATATTTATGTAAATATTATGTTATTACTCAATATAGAATAATAAAAATACTATATATATATATATATATATATATATACACACACACACATTAATATTTAATACAGGATACTGTATATACGTTTAATTAAGTTAATTGTTAATAATGTACTTTAAATTATTATAAGTACTAAATTAAATTATGATAACGTTATTACGCATTTATTTACCATGTGTTATGTTTATTTACCAATTTTATTAGTGACATTTAATAATAAAAACTAAAATACTAAATACTCTAAAACCCAGTACTTTAAAAAATGATATACTAGTACATTTCTAAAAAAAAAAAAAGAAAAAAAAAAGAAAAAAAAAATTAGTGGTATATGTTTTATATATTTATACGTATATTGTATTTAAGATTATACATTATACAAGTAATACTTAACAATAAAACTTAAAGTGTATTCAATCAGGTCGTAAACTTAGACAACACTCACTCATACCAAGTTTACAGGATGCACAAAGCTGTTCTGGTATCTGTCCTCTTGTAAGAGCTGTCTGAGATGAGATATATAGCTGGATGCCAGGCGCAGAGTGTCCAGCTTTGACAGTTTGGTGTCTGCCGGTACCCACGGCAGGCTGGTCTTCAGCCGAGAGAACGCTTTACTCAGAACTCTCATGCGTGCCCTCTCTCTGGCATTTGCTGCGTTTCTCTGAGACTGTCTGCCATCCTTTGCCATCTTCACTTGTTGCTTGTTGTTGCTGGCACCAGCTCGAGGTTGTTTGGTCTTTGCTTTCAAACTGTCATCGATACTTAACTCGTCTTCTGAGTCCTCCAGAGAACCAGTGTCCATGTGAGTGATTGACAGCTCCTGGAGGTCTTCAGGATCACTCACCGAACCTGTGGACATCACGACTGCACCTGCTTCAGAGCAAAGAACTTGATTTTGAAAAAAACAAAAAAAAAAAAAAAAACTGCAGTCCTGCGTTTCAATATATATGATATTCAGCGTCCTTGCTGTAGATTTAAAGCAACAGGTGCTGCCTTGAATCTCTGTAAAAGAAGCCCAGGGGAAAGGCACATCAAAACAAGGCCATCATTGAATCACCATTCAAGGTCATTCAGCATTTCCTGAATGTAAAAGGTTATTTATCAGACAAAGTTGACTGTATCATCTGCCCCTTCTCACTGAGCATCTCAAAGCTTGTCCTGCGGTGTACCAAGCACATTTAAGGTTTGGGGTTTGGCCGGGTCATTATGGATCAGGGATTTCTCCTCCCCTTTTCCCCATCTAACTTTTGGCAAGACTGTTTGACAAAGTGGGACTGATAGTATATTCATGATAGAATATTATTATATAATAATATATTTATTTAATATTGAATTTGTTGTTTTAGTTATATAAAAACATCAATAATACTATTGTTAAATATTAAATAATTGAACACATTTTGATTACAAAGATACATGCACATCAAATATTATCTATTATTATTTAATTATTATTATTTATATATTTTTTACTATTTAGTACATATTTTGATGTGAAATATGTACACACACTAATATATTAATTCATTTATTAATATGCATAATTAAATGTATTTAATAAATAATCATAAAAATAAAGACATTTTGATATTTCTTCTTCTTATTATTAATATTAAATGAATTATGTAAAAATATTTAATACATTACCTTTAGTCATGGAAATATATTTATTTATTATTTAAATATTTTTTTAATAGGTACTTATTTAATAGATTTGCTGACTTTCTTTATTAAAGAATTATAAATATCCAATTAACTAAAAAAGGCTCCAAACCAACCTTGATACTTCAAATAAATAATTCAGTGAAAAATTATGGTGAAAAACCTTCAGTTTTCTTCAGTTCAGTGGTCACCCACGGTCCACTTAAATGCCTTTTCCCACATGCTCTTAAGCAAATAGAAATGTCTGAAAGGCTTATCAAACGTTCTTAATCCACTGGCCAATTCACAGAGATATTGGGTTTCTGCTTGGTTAGAGCGCTCTCACACACGCTCTGTGCGCATTGGCCACAGCTGTCAGCACTTTACATTATATCTGCAGGATGGGGGGCAATCACTGGGACCCTGTGGGTAAAGGGAAAATACCCATGTTGACATTCTTCACACTGTGCTCTCATTTGTCTCTACTATCATCATATAGAAACATGAGGTGCGTGGCAGAGGCTAGAACCACACATGCCTGGCAAATGAAAATGATTTTTATATCATTTTTTCTTGGCAGATGTCAGTTCAGCTGTTAGAGGAAACTTTGTATGACTGCTTCTTTAGTAAACTGTTCTGTATGCCCCGTTCATAAAATTGCAGAGAGCAAGAAGAATAAACTGTTTTAGGTTATTCCTATATGTCTATACTTGGCAGCAACCCTTTGCAAAATTGGAGCATACAAGTCAGCTACAACACAATATCTGTATAAAATTGCATAATGTATCAAAAATGTGTCAGTATAGGCTCTGTATATTTTATATGGACAAAAAATTAAGAACGAAATTTCCTAAACCATAAAACTAAATTTCCCACAGCTGAAATGTTCTCAGCATCTCACAGTCTCTCTCAGTAAACTCGATATGTATGAGTTTTCATTCCAGCCTAATGAGTGTGAAATTAAGATTTTATATTACAGTGGTCACCCTCAGCCAACAATTATCCAAAAGCATAGCTGACTTGTATGCTCCATTTTTGCAAAGGGTTGTTGCCAAGTGTAGACATGTAGGAATAACTTAAACAGTTTCTTCTTCTTACGCTCCGGAATTTTAAATATTCATTCTTACTGTAAGGACTTGTTCACATAGAACACCATTTGTTCATTATCAATTGTTTTTCTAAATGCTTGCTTTTAGACGGATGCCTTTAACCTTTGTGCCGTGACTCAATTCTTTTTTAGCATCTTGCTCACGAATACTGTGTTTTCAAGACGGTCAAGTTAAAAGAAGGTATTAATTATTTTCCTTTTGTCTGCACCTCATCTCACATTTGTTCCACCATCTGGCCAAACAATTCCAGTTGAATTTCCACTTGAACATGGTTCAACAAACCGTTCCAGCTAATTACTTCCCCATGTTTAACCGTGCTGGTGAAACCACTGTAGTGGCATGATGCTTTTCTAGTGCTGTAGGCTCAATAGACTTCAAGCAAAATCGAAGAACGAACATGTGTGACGTAATTTCGGACAAAAAAAAGGCAAAAACTATATGGGTTTGTTTGACGTTCATTTGGACTTTGTTGTTAGTGGGCGTTCCCATTAAAGGCCTTTCACACTGAGGGTACATTTGCACGACAACGATATGCTTAAAACAGGGAGTCTTTCTTTTGAGCTTTCACAGTCATAGTCAAAAACTATTGACACTGATATACACGAAAACAGCTAAAAGCGGTATATTATGCTGACAGGCCATTAGATGGCGATGAAACACCATAGACTGAACAAGTAATACGCATGTGCATGATGTCATCGTCTGCAGAGATTCACGTTTTTCCGTTTTCAAAAAATTGCATTTGAAACCAGTTTTCAAAAGTTTGCGTTTTCAGGTACCCAAAACGCTGTTGCTGTGTAAATGAACGGCCAAAACACATAAAAAGTTTTGTTTTTGGTTGAAAACGGGGTCGTGTAAAGCTTCTGAGTGTGATTAAACGACGCGATAATGCTCTTGAATCGAAACAATAGATACACATGGAGCCATTCACTTCAGCTGCGATTAATGTCAAGATTTTTGCACGACAAATGCGTGACAAATCAAGATTTTTTTCCAGACTAAGTGTGTTTGTTTTTTTGGCACCCTGCGATGAAATGGGCCATCCAATTAGATTTGAGCTTTAGATCACGTAACTCCGCCCCCACCGCATGAGTATAAAAGGAGAACGCCAGCAATATGCAGATATGTTTTCGCTTCGGAGGCAAGAAGTGCTCTTCACTCCGTCAGCCTATCCTCTGTCTATCTTCGAGAATCTTCTAGATGAGCAGCTTTCAGTTGGTGTTGATGGCGAGTTCCAGCAAGTTTCACATTCCTGCCTGCTGAACTGAACAGCGTGTGTGTTTCTCCCTGGGCGCTTCAGCACTGCTGGAAGCTTTTCTCTAACAAAAAGAGCTTATACATGGTACGTCTTTCTAAACACAATCTGCCTGTGTATTTTTGAGTGCGGTATTCTGATAGACTCAGCTGATGGGCACGAGTGCTATTTTGACGTGTTCTCCCAGCCGGAACATGACCATCGCAATGTAACGGTCGAGACTCGATGAGCTCAATAGAGCGAGAGACCCCTTATCCACACTCAATCTATTTTCTCCATTCAAGAGAATACTTCAAGGCCACGGCCAAGGGTACACTGGGGTTCCCCCCGTGGAGTGTTCTATGGGATTGGCAACACATCTGTCCCCACAGCGCCTCCACCTGGCGTGGTGACCCTAAGCATCCCTCCAATGGGCTTTGCACCTCTGTCAGGGTGCGGTATATATTCGTGGCCCGATGCCGCTATGCCGTCCACATCCCGGCCACTCATTCCGCTTTGCTGCGCCACCGACGGGACGTCTGTGGTTCGCGTAACCCTGCTGGCACAGTCCTTGGATTGGTTTGCAGCGATCGACCTGAAGGACGCCTACTTCCATGTCTCCATTCTCCCTCGACACAGACCGTTCCTGCGGTTTGCTTTCGAGGGGCAGGCATACCAGTACGCGGTTCTTCCATTCAACTATCTCGACAAATGGCTGATCCAAGCTCACTCTCGAGACCAGGTTTGCGAACACAGGGACCTAGTGCTCCTTCGGCTCAACTGGGAGAAGAGCAAACTCTGCCCCGTGCAGAGGATCTCTTTCCTCAGTATGGAAATCGACTTACGAGCAAGCGCGCACAGTCACTGCTGACTTGCCTAAGATAATTCAAGGGCAAGAGTGCGGTTCCACTGAAACTATTTCAGAGGCTCCTGGGGCATATGGCATCTGCAACCACGGCAACGCTGCTCGGATTGCTTCAAATGAGACCACTTCAGCTCTGGCTTTGTGACCGAGTCTCGAGGTGCAACACGACACCCTCCGAGTATCAGTTACTTCGACCTGCCGTCAAACCTTCTCTCCGTGGTCGAACCTCAGTTTTCTACGGGCTGGAGTGCCCCTCCAACGAGCTTCCCGGCATGTTGTTGTCTCAACAGATGCCTCCACCACAGGTTGGTGTGCCATGTGCAATGGACATGCTGCCGCAGGCTCTTGGACAGGACTCCAGCTTCTATGGCATGTCAATTGCCTCGAGTTGCTGGCAGTACGTCTTGCTCTGCACCGCTTCCAGGCGTTGCTCAAGGGTCAACATGTACTAGTCCAATTAAACAATACTGCCACTGTTGCGTGCATCAACCATCAGGGTGGTCTACGCTCCCACCGTATGCCGCCAGTCATCTGCCACCTCCTGATATGGAGTCAGAAGCATCTGAGGTCATTCCTTTGAGCCATTTATATTCCTGAAGCCCTGAACTGTGCAGCCGACAAGCTCTCACGGCTTCAGCCCCTCCCTGGCTTTAGCTGATTTGGCACCTGTCCGGGGACGCATAGATAGATCTGTTTGCCTCTCACGACTCGACCCATTGCGCCCTGTATTATTCCCTGACTGAGGGTACGCTCGGCTTGGATGCACAGGTACACAGCTGGCCGCGGGGCTGCAAGTATTTCCCCCAGTGATCCTTCTTGCACAGACCCTGCGCAAGGTCAGGTAGGACAAGGAGCAAGTCATTCTGGTCGGGCCGCACTGGCCCACCCGGACCTGGCTCTCCGAACTCGTACTCCTTGCAACAGCACCTCCCAGGCCAATTCCTCTGAGGAAGGACCTCCTTCTCAGGGACCAGGCACCCTTGGCACCCTCATCCCAATCTTTGGAACCTCCACGGCTGGCTCCTGAACGGGACGAGGCAGGTTTGAGTACCCTACCACCTGCGGTGGTGGCTACCATCACTTCCGCTAGAGCATCGTCCACAAGATATGCCTATGCGTTGAGTGGACCTCTCCGTCAACTGGTGCTCTTTTCGCAGAGAAGACCTCTGGAGGTGTTCGATCAGTGTTGTGCTTTCCTTCCTTTAAGATGGGTTGGAGCGAAGGCTGTCTCCCTCCACCCTCAAAGTATACGTTACCGCTATTGCCGCTTACCATGATACAGTGTAGGGAACACAACCTGATCGCCAGGTTCCTGAGAGAAGCGA